GACAAATATAATCCAGCTTTATTTAATGGTCAGTTTTTCAGGAATTTACGTTTTAAATATAAAGAAATACCCAGGCCAGATGTAAGTAAAGAGCATCCCCAGCCCCTGACCATCAGAGTGCTCTGACATGTCAGGTTCATTGTGTTAGGTTTTTGGATCCATAAATTTGAATCCTTTTTATAGAAGATTTCTCTTTAGTATTTTGTTATCTTTATTTCATTAATGTTTCCATTGGCATCTGAATTATTTGACCTTCTAAAAGAAGAGTCTTGCTGTAGTAAGTAGACTATAGAGTCACTCAACTCTTTAACATATACCTCATCTTTAAATAGTAATCATTATGATACTTGTTTTACAGTGTTATAAGAATTAAGCAACATGCATATGTGAAAAGGTATTTTAAACTATAAAGTCCTCATAAATGTGAGTTGTTCCTGCTGTTCATATGTGTGGAAATAATAATTGCTTTATAACAATCTGCAAATAAATTTAACAAACATGATATAAATTTATAGTACTAAAAGTTTCAAGACAAGTTTTAATTGTGTAGAAGTGTTTTCCTATCTGCATTCTGATTTACTTGCAGAAATACTCTCATCTTCAGTCAGCACACCACGAACACCCTAGGCCACTCTTCAGGAGCATGATATGGTGGGGTGGACTCGTACTCATGGCTGTAGGAGAGACTGGGAACTTCGCAGCCTATGGATTTGCCCCTGTTACTCTCATTGCTCCGTTAGGTTGCATGTCTGTTACAGGTGAGCCGTTTGTCTGTACTTTGATATATAGAACCTAAGAGAGTGGAATGATTTGCAAAAAATGTGCAACTGAGCCAGCATATGCACAGGAGGAGAAAGCCTATCCCTGTTTACTTTGCATGTTCCCCGGGGACAACTGCACTCCTCAGTTACGTCCTCCACTTTCATTCAGCCACATTCTCCATGGAAAGCCTTGCTGGAGCCTTGCCTTCTGTAGCTGAAGCACTTATGTTCAAAGCCTGAATCACAATGTCTGAGTCTTCATAAATCAACAGTGACAGCAAGTGCTATCCTACGCTTTTGATCATTAATGAAAATGATTTAAATGAATTTAAATAATTAATGAATTTAGTCAATGAAAACTGTCTAAAAGCATTTGTAATAGAATGCTTTATTTTAATCATATGTTAAACTGGCATTATGTGTAGTTAGATGTCTGATCTTGACTCCGTAGTTCAGCACATCCTTTATGTTAAAATTAAACATTGGTGATTCTATATTACTGCCTAAGGCATTTGACTGCTAACCAGAAGGCTGGCGGTTCAAACTCACCAGCCACTCCTCGGAAGGAAGGTGGGGCAGTCTACTTCCATAGAGATACTGCCTCGGAAACCCAAGGAGGGGTCGCTATGAGTCAGGTCCAACTTGACGGCAGTGAGTTATACCAAAAAAACCAAACTTATTGCTGTCGAGTCAATTTCGACTCATAGCAACCCCTCCTTGGGTTTCCAAGATAGTATCACTATGGAAGTAGATTGCCCCATCTTCCTTCCGATGAACGGCTGGTGGGTTTGAACTGCCAGCCTTCTGGTTAGCAGTATTTTTGAAATTATCTAACTTCAAAATTTATATGATTTATTAAATGCATTTAGAAATGAGAAAATGAAATTTTTCTAAAGGCTAAAAAAAAAAAAATCACTGCTAAAAAGGAGAACGAATTCTCTAAGCCCTGTTAAAATCAATAAATCCTTCTTAGTTCTACTCTTTATGTGCTGCTATGGAAACAGCATGTTTTTAAATTTCTGTGAATGTAGGACTTTCATTGAAATAGAAACAAGTTGATAGTTATTATCTGTTAACGACTAGATCAAGCATAATATGTGCTTACATTTTCCAATGTTAATGTTTCTCCTGGAAAAAAAACTATATGATACTCTTAAAGACAGCTTACTTTACACTGGAATAATGTCTCTTCAAAGAGAATTTCATTCAATTTTGAAAATAGCTTCCTCTTCTTAATCATTTCAAATATTTTATCTGAAAATATTTTCATGATGCAGAATAATAGAATATATAGGAAAGAGCTACACACACGCACACACACACATATAGCTTTCTAGAAATTGCTTAGTTAGGATGACCATGCTATTACTTACTTTCAGCAGACACACAATTTATGTAATCATTTAAAATTGTTAACATTCCAATAAAATGAACAAATTGGTTGTAGTTCATCTTACTCTACTACAAATAACATGTACATGAACATTCTAGATGTTTTTCCCTTCTCCGAATCTAAGAGATACCAGATAAGAGGCTTAGTTATGTTGTCAGTGTGCGGCTTCTAGGGGCTCCACTTGTCCTGAAAATGTTGGCATTGTTTCTCATAATGACGTATACATAGTGCTGCCTTTTAGTTTTGCTTCTTCCTCTGCATTAAGCTCAGTCTCCATGAAACAGCCAAAGGAAAAACAATGCCTGAGGATATCAGATAGATATGCTTCCTCCTAGAGGAAGATTGAGTTCACATATTCCATTGAAATTCTCCATTTATCCTAGTCTCCTGCCCTAGGAAGCCTTTCTTTGAGTGCAAGGAAAAGGAAACTCTGCCACCTAACTCAAATACATTTATGGGGCTGAATTTATTGTAAAGATGAGCAGTTTCACGGAAATGGAATGTAGCCAGGCTTTGTGGGACCTGGGAGGATAGCCAGAGATGAAGGGTCAGCTAGGTGGCTAAATTAAGCAATCAACTGTTAACCTGAAGGTCAGCAGTTCGAATCTACCAATCCATCTGCTGGAGAAATATGTGGCAGTCTGCTTCCCTAAAGATTTACAGCTTTGGAAGCGCTATGAAGCAGTTCTGTTCTGTCCTACGGCATCGCTGTGAGTTGGAATAGACTCCACCGCAGTGGGTTTGGGTTTTTTAAGGTGGCAAAAGGGTTTCCATTCAACTGCTAACTTAATTTAACTTAATTTGGTGATTTGAACCTACCCAGCAGTGCCTCAGAAGAAAAAGCCCAGCAATCTGCTCCCGATAAGATTACAGTGAAGAAAACTCTAGGGAGCAGTTTTACTCTCTAACACATGGGGTCTCCATGTAACAATAGCATCAAGAGTAGCAGTCCCACCCTGTGCAGGCCCTTCAGTGGAAGCTGTCTGTGAATCTGTTTATCATGGCGTGACTCGTTCCAAGCTCTCATCCTCTCCACTGGGTGTAATCATGATGAGGGACACAGCTAAGCAGAAGCTTAAGTTCAACTTTCCTTCCAGAAATGGTGTCCTGTTCTCTCCAGGTGCCCTGTGGGGCTAGCTCACCTACCTTCTTCAAACTTTGAGTCTCCTGCCTTGGCATATGGGCTTTTCTTAGAGCTACAAATATTTTGTGTGTGTGTTGATATTCCAACTTGAGAACATTTTTAGCTCCCCTGCCCACTTAAAATGGTAGAAAGAAGTGAACTTCCAGCCTCCAATACAAATCATTTCCTATTTCACAATCTTTGCCAACAGTACTAAATGCTCAGGTGTAACATCCCCATAGTACTCCTGAACATAACATGAGATTATTGTTATGTGTCGTGGGTAGGTAAGGGACTGCTAGTGATGGAGGACTCTCTCCAGAACACCCCCACCTCCTTCAGATTCTTAGTACAGATTCTAGAAACCCTGGAGAACTTGAAGCAAAGAGGAAAGTATTTTTAAAAGATACATCATGACTGTGTCAACGGTGAAGGCAGAAGAGCGTTTCCGTTCTTCTCTGCTAGAACTTTTCTTTTCCTATTATTTCTTGGGAGCTTCAAGGAAGAAATCAAACATCCCTCTGAATACAAATATAAATAAATAACATCTGTTGCAGTGTTACATGTGAGATTGCATATGTTTTTTCCAATTTTTCTTCAGTCTTTTGTTGCTTTTCGAATAAAAATGAACGTCAACATCTGTGACACTAGTTTTAACCCTTCATCTGCAGTGAAGGGTACACTCTTCATCTTGCTCCCTCTCATTGGGTGGTCTGGTTCATACCCACACACTGTGCTGACTCCTTGTTCCTTTCCAGAAGTAAGGAGATACTATTGGGTCAACACACACACTAGTCATACTAGCCATAAGATTGCTAGTATACCAGACCTGCCACTTTGTTGTAAATAGTCAAAATTCTGCCTCTTTTGTACAGTTCAAATGAACAAGCCTTTTTCTTTTTCTGTGGTAGTTATGTGTCATCTTGGCTGGGCCTGATTTTGAGTGGCTGAGCAGCTGGATGTAGTATTCCCCATGATGAGACTGGTAATCACCTCCATGGTGGAATCTACTCTGAGCAGCTGAGTAGCTGCCTTAGGGATGTGATCTGCTCCCAGTAAATAAGGAGAAGCTTTAGGAATGGTCTCTAGCTTTTGGTACGCTTGAACCCTGCGTGTAGCCAAGTTGTTATTCAGCAGCCTGCCGTGTTGTTTGCTGATCTTGGGACTCTTAATGGACTTGAATCAATGGCCTGCCGTGTGGCTTGGTAATATCGGGACTGTGCCTTTTTACCTGCCGACCTTGGGTTTGTCAGCCTCAGCAGCCAGCAGCTTCCTGATTTACTCCAGCTTCAGTGGGCCAGGAGCAAGAGGCAGAGCTGAAGCCCAAGGTCAAGAGGCTTTCACCCAGCCCCTAGAGCTTGGCATTTTGAACTTGGACTCCTAGCCTCCAAAACTGTAAGAGACTAAACTCTTTTCATTCAAGCCACCCACTTGGAGTATTTTCTGCATGAAGTGACCAAAACAACTAGTATATGAGAAACACTCAGCTGTAAGCATTCTGAGGATCTCGGCTTGCACTCTACCCACTTCCCACCTCCACGCATATTCCTTTCTATCCCTTTTTCCCTCTCTTTCAGTTCCTCAGTGGCATACATGAGCCATTTCCCAAATACCAGCTCCCACAGGTGGCCTCATAGCTGTTCTAAGAAACAAAGGATGCTATGCTCAGATAGGTTTCTGCAGTTTTGGATCTGAAAGTGAAACAGGTTCCACTGGGGGCCTGTGAAAGATGCGCGAGCACTGTGACTCTTTCAGGAGGCCAAGGCTCCCAAACCTACTAACCATTAGGTGCTTTCATAAGAAGCATCTCAAGAGTTGATAGTCAAGCAGAAAATTTTTTAGGGAATCCATAAGGCAACTCACAATCAGTCCCATCATCCTATAGACTCTTAGCCTCGATAATCTGTCTGCCGAGGGGTTGAATAATGAGGGGTTAATAATGGGGAGTAAATGAGTGTATAGACTGATCTGAATGCCCAACCCTGTCTCCAGCTTTTTTAGAAAGTGTCAGAGTCCTTGTATCCTTGGGTTGTCTTTCACTTTCCCAATGAATATCAGATCCAAAAGCTTATTCTGACCAAAATGCTAGTTCTGCCAGTAGTATGAGTAAGTCTGAATATTGATTTATGATTGTGTTTCCATCTATTAAAAAAAACTTAATAGATTGTTTTTTCAATTTTATCTGAAGTCCAGATTGGCTGCTTGCCCCTATAAGCCAGTGTTGTACAATGGTCAGGAACACAGCGCTAGAGTCACACTGTTATTGTTGCTACATGAGCTCTGACTCATAGCAACCCTACGTACAACAGTCTCTGCTGCATTTAAGCCCGTTGTTGCCACTATGTCACTCTGTCTCATTGAGAGTCTTCCTCTTTTTCCCTTGCCCTCTGCTTTACCAAGCAAGATATTCTTCTCCAGTAACTAGTACCTTCTGAAAACATGTCCAAAGTATGTGAGACCAAGTCTCGTCATCCTCACTTC